CCCTGCCTGGCCCAGGATTTCTAGCCTTAGCACTATAGCATGTGGCCAGGTAATTCTTGGTTGTGGGGACTATTCCCTGCACTTTTGGGTGTTGGGACAGCCTCCCTGGATCTTACTCACTAGGTGCCAGAACCCATCACCCCAGTTGTAAAAATGAGAACGGTCTGTGGACATTGCCAGGGTGGGATGCACCCCCCCCTTTGAGAGCCAGTAACCTATAGCAACATAACTGTGTGCCAGCCCTGGGCTAGGGGCTGAGCTGTGAACCATACCTGTCCAGTTGCTTGGACCATACACCAGCAAGGTCATTACGAAGTGCCTGCTGTGGTTACACCCCTTCTCCAGTGGCCCACAGTCGTGACTGACTGGCATATAGAATCAAAGCCCCTACTTGCCTAAGGAGAACCAGCTCTGATGAGGTTCCTGCCTGGAGTGCCCTGTGGTGTCAGGATAGTAGAGCCCAGGCAGGTTTGTGGCCTCGGCTGCTTTGGAGCTACTGGGTTTCCTGGTGGGAGAATTCTCCTGAGGGCACGCAGTCTAGCCTCTGGGTCCAAGTGGGACCCCAGCCCTACCAGTGGGAGGTGAGCCATTTTCTAGCATTTCTGGGATAGAGATCAAAGCTTTTCAGTTTATGAAGGCCTTAGGTTTACTATTCAGCCCCTGGACCATTAATTATGCTTCACTGACCAGCCCTGGGACCTCCCACATTGCTTTCTCTCAGGGGGTGAAGGGACAGGGAGAAAAAGGGGTCACCAGGCTTTGGGGGGAAGGTGGTCACTGGGCTTTGGTCTCAACTGTGTATCTCACTTGCTGCCTTACCAGGCCCTGGGAGGTCAGCTCTTCTGTGGGGTGTGGGATTGGCAGAAATGTGAACTGAGCTCTTTATAGCCCGGTGCTACTCTGGCTTTGGAGTGACAGAGTGGAAGACCATCTTGGCACAGCAGAGCTGGTGTCAGTGCCTACATAGCTGCGCTGGGTCTTTGTTCCTTCTGATATTTTCCTACCAAGTTTCCACCCTTCTGGTGATAGAAGTAGGTTCTTCCCTGCAGACAGCGCACTGAACCTCTCCATCTGCAGTAAAACCAGCCCTTCGTAAGGGATCCCTTAAATCCTCCACAGGCCTGAAGTAGGAAGGAGCCTGTTCCTGGGACTGACTTCTTCAAGTCAGACAGGGTCATTGGCATGACCGAGTTTACAGGGTGGTAAGGATGTGGCTGTGGTGCTGTCCATCATCTGTGGTTCTGGATGCTGGCCACACCTGGCCCTCCCCCCCGAGCTGCACTGCGCCATGCCACACAGTGCTGAGTGCCCTTGTGCACCTGTCAGATGCTCCAGAGACCCCAGAGGGAGGGTGCCTGTGCTCTGTGAGATGCCTGTCCATCCTACTTCAAGGGCTGAGGGACAAGTCTGGAGTCACTTGGGATGGTTCCCTCAGAGGGAGCTCATGCATCTGGTCACTCTGAACATACCAGCTGGGGTTCTAGTGATTTGAGTTCTTACCTGTGGGCAGGCTTCCAGATGGGGACACAGTGCCCCTGTCAGTGCGTGCCCTCTACCCCTACCCCACAGCCCTTGCTTCATCTGTCATATTCTGTGCCTGTGTACAGCAAATGCTCTCTCTGTGTGTGTGTCTTGAAGATATAACTGCTGCAGTAAATGGCACATCTGGGGGCCCAAATGCCCTTTGGGAGTAGGAGGGAGGGGTGTGAGTAGCTGCCTTGAGCAGAGTCCAAAGCTTCCTACCCACTGCTGCTGTCCCCTACCCATCTAGAACAAGGAGCTATGTGTGGACATCGCCTTTTATCTCCATGTCCCACCCTTCTGTTCAGTATACCCCTCTGACAGTGCTTCTAGGGTCTATCCCAGGATGGCCCAAATGGGTCCCTGCAGCTGTGGGAAGGTGGGAACGCTGCAGACTGGGTGCCCCTGCTGTAGAGGTGCCTTCGACAGCATCATAGAGGCCCAGAGAGGCTCAGGAAGTATGAGAGCTCACACAGTGAGTCTGTGCTGTCCCTGAATGGGGCAATGTTTCCATGAAGGCTGTGGACTGAGCCCTGGGGTGTCCTGAACTCTGGGGCCTCAGTGGAGCAGGGAGAGCCCAACTGCCTTCTTCCCTCCTAGCCCAGAAAGGACTTTTGTGCTGCCCTTCACAAGCCCCACAAGCTGGTGATGGGGACTGGGCCACCATACCTATCTGGATAGGGTAGAAGGGGCCACCTGAGTATCTGCTGAGCTGGGACCCATAGTATTAAGGAACTGGGAAATCTTGTTTCAACTCTGAGCAGGCACATAGCTGGCTCTGTGTGCAAGATCCCGTCTTCCTGGGTCCTGAGGGATCTCCCGTAGGGAGACCTTGGGCATGTGTTGGCTTCTAGGGAGCAGCAGTGTACCTCTTTGAAAGATGGGCATATTCCCCAGCCACAAGCTTGCCTAGATGTGCAGACCAAACCCAGTTGGTGGTTTCATCTTGGGCTTCCCCTCAGTGGTGGAAACCTGGGGATCTCATTCTGCAAAGGGGCCAGCATGGCAAATAGCAGGATTTTTAATTTGGATTTAAGTGCAATCATGGTTACTCATTTGATGCGTCATTAGTCACATTGCTCCTTAATGAGAGAGTGTGCCTTTTCCCTGCCTGGCTTTGTGGTTTACTAATAAACTTCTATGGACATGCAAATATTTATAGATGCTCACTGAAGGAAGGGGTGGGAATTGCACGCTGCTAATTAAAACGTCCCCCAACCCCATGTACACACACCTCCTCCCAAGGAAATTGTCTGTGGGGGAGGGGAGGAGACAGCACTGCAAACCTGTGTGTTTGGTAACAGCACATGGGCTCCCTGGGAGCGCATTTGATGGAGGGCCAGAGAGGCGGTAGAGGAAGAGCAGCTGAAGCCTGAACAGAGTCTAGGGGTATGGGGATAGGGACAGGAAGGGCTGTGTGGCCAAGTAGATGTCTGTGTGTGTGTGCGGCATGCGGATACATGCTCCTGGGCACCTCACACCCAGTCTTCTTACTTTATCTCACCAGCCTTGCTGAGACACTGCTGAGGGTTCCTACAGAATAACATCAGAGGATGAAGGAAGGGTCTTGTCACACTCTCCCACCTGGGTCAGGGTTAGTTGGAGACAATTTTATAGTTGGTCTATTGCAGAGACATGGCCAGGAAAATCATTTGGTGTGGGACTTTTGCCTTGGGTAGGGCTGGGGTGCACCCTCAGGGAGGTGCTCCAGGTGGGCATAGGTGGCTCAGGTGGGAGTTACCAGTGTGGTGGGGCCAAGAGAATGCTGGGCCAGGGTGGGGCAGGCCTATGGCCTCTTTTTCTTTTGGGTACCTAGTGGTGGGGGTGGGGCTTCACTTTATCAGACCCCTGGCTGGGTCAGGGAGGAATAACACACTGGAGTCAAGCCAGGGGCGGGCTGGGAGTGATAAGGGCATGGAAGACCTTTTTGTGGTAAAGGGCTGTGCCCACAGCCTCCCTGGGGAGACCTCTTTGTGGATGATGCTGGTTGGATCATCTGAAGCCCCCCACTTTGGGAGCTGCTGTAAGCAGGGTGGGTCCCCATTTCTCTCTCCCTCATACCTCTCTGTGCCCCCTCACTCCCCCGACCTTGGATCACATCCATGTCCTCCCTGATGCCCTCAGCCTCCTGGTGCCTACTGTGGCCTTTGAGCAAGTACAGACCAGCTGACCCTCTCTGTGTCCCTTTGGGCTCGGCTCTCCAGGGTTTTGAACCTGGGGACCGTTTTCTCTGTCTGCCTCCATGGAGCCTCGTTAAGTGAGCGTTTACTCTACTCTCCACCACCTGCAGGACACCATGTGCCCCCCGCAGCCAAGCCATTGAAACCTCACAGCTAGTGGGATGGGATAGGGTGAGGTGGGGGCTGCCCCAGGGCCTGATTAGGGTGGGAGAGCAAGATACCTGGTGGCCCCCATGAGAGACTGGGGCTAATGAGCGGGAGGAGGGACCCCCAGATGAGGCTGCTGCCCATCCTCTGCTGCCCTGCTCCTGCCCCTGCCAGGCCTCCCTGCTCCCACAGTTTGGGTAACTCAACTGCGTGCTGATTGATGGGACATTCTGCTGCATTATATCTGCTCTCGGGCTTATGGGCCATTCTGCTGCATTATATCTGCCCTAGGGCTTACTCTCCTTCCCTTTGATGCAGAAAAGGATGTTTGGGCCAGAAACTGTCTCCGCCTTAGTGATGCAGAAAGGAGGGCTGTGTTTTCCATTGGGCTGGAAGAAGGAGGGAGGTCAGTGGGCGTGTTGGATTGGGCAGTGTCCACCCAGGAGGGGTTCTGCTGGGACCTGTTGATAAGATTGTTGGGCTCCTGGTCCCCACCCAGCTTCTGAGGTGAAGGACCTAAGGCAGGACCTAGCCTGCTTGCTATACACTGGGATACTGGGCATCCCTTATGGCTCCTGATCCTATGGGTTCTTGTGGATCCAGAGAGTCAATGGCCAGGGCCTGCTTTGGGAAGCTCCCTGTCTGCTGGTGGAAGTAGCCTGAGTGAGCTGTGCTGAGCTTCCTCCTGCAGGGAGCCCCAGAGCCTCAGAGTGGGGAGGCCACACTTGTGGACATTCCTCCAGGGTCTGGCGGGCCCAGGCCTTGGTGAGGGGCCAGCCTGAGTGGGGACCTAAGTATACTCAGGAAGGATACTGGTATGAGGAGCCAGGCAGGAAGAGTGGGAAAGCCACTCACACATTCATTTTCTCTCCTTCATAAATTCCCTTGTTTATTCAATTACTCAACAATTGCCTGGCTTTATATAAAGCCAACATTGGGGCTGGCACTTGAGTGGGTAGAGAGGGAAGAATTATCCGTCTTAGCTGTGAAGACAGATAACCTGGGGAGGGGAAGGGAGATTGAGCTGGTTGGGCTGCTGGGAGGAGCCACAGCCAGGACCCTGGGGCCAGTGCTATGAGGCCCTGGGGATAGCTTTGCTTTCTCAGCCAGGCCCCTCAGTCTAACCACCCCCTCCCTCTCTGTCCCCTGCAGCAGGCTGGCTCTGGGGAGTTCCGGACGCTGCGGAAAGGCTTCTCCCCATACCACTCGGAGTCCCAGCTTGCGTCCCTGCCACCTTCCTACCAGGACTCGCTGCAGAATGTAAGTGCCCTCCCACCAAAGAACCCCAGATTTTCTCAGATGAGAGGGGAGAGGCTCAGGTGAGTGGGTCACCTGGGCTTGAGTGTTTGAGGTCCTTGTCTCAGCTCAGCTCTGTGTTCCGGGCTGCCAAGGGCACAGGTCAGGGCCAGGGCTTGGCCATGGTGGCCTACCTTGTCCCCTGCCATCTTCCTTTCCTACCTTCCCAGGAAGGAGCACTGGACTCCCAACCTTTGGAGCCTCAATGAGGGCCTAGTGTGGTGTTTAGAGGGGAAGCCCCAAGTTGGGGGGATGCTGCTGAAAGCATGGGGCAGTGCCCAGAGGCCACATGTGAGGCAACCCAGGCCCAGCCACTGTCCCTGTAGGTAATTCTTTAGCCAGTGTCACTCCTTGGGCATAATAGAGACAGGATGCCTGGCTAGCCCTGGATCTTGGGGTATAGCTTTGTAGATTATGTATGTACTGACGTGACTAAGCAGACTCTCCAGGGCTGTCTTCTGTGTCCTTACTGGGGCTCTGACCTGCCCTGGAGGGAGCAGGAGGGGTGGCCTGGCGCCAGCTCTGAGGAAGTGGATGCCTAGCTTAGAGCTGCTGCTGATGGGTAGATGTGCTGGCATCCCTATATGAGGACAGATGAGAGGCAGGAGCAGATGTAGGAGGCCAGGTCCACCTGCTCTCCTTGCAGAGAGGCCTCAGGCTAGCTTGGCTTGTTCTGTGGGGACAGCAAGGGTGCTTGCCTCATTGTGGGGTCCATGTGAGCAGCCCCGTGGAGAGCCTGGCATTGTGCTCAGCAGACACTGAGTCTGCACTGCTTGTTCTTGTGGTGGCGTCTGCAGGGCTGGGTGTATTTGTGCTGCAGCCCTTCCTGCCCTCTTCCTGGCTAGCAAGGATGCCCTCAGGCCTCTCTGAAGAACCTGGCTGGGCCTTGGTGCTGGCCCTTTGCCCTCTCCAGGAGTGTCACTGTCTTCTCTGTATAGTCAGCAAAGCCCACTGATGGCAAATAATCCAAATTTTGTCAGGAACCCTGTTGAATGAGATTCTGACTGCTCCTTGCTAAAGGGCTCTGAAAAGCCAAGTGATGACCCCACAGGGGGTGGTTCCTCAGCCTGCATTTTCTCTGCCCTTCATACATTCCTCCTCATCCAACCTGTAGAGGGGAATGACGACAGCTGGCAGGTTTTGAGTGCTGTGTCCTGAAACCCTCTAAGCGGTCTGCAGGCTGAATAGTGCTGTGCAAAGCCATCTGGCTCCTAGGCCTTGCTGGGTGTGAGCAGCAAGGGCCTCCCAGTACTGAGAGGACTGTCCCTCCTCCTACATTTTCTGGGGGACCTCATGTGCTTTACCTCATTTCTTCTAGCCTGCACTACCCAGGAGGAACTGTCACCCACCTTAGAAAGGGAAGAAGCAAGGCCGTGGGGCATGTGGGATGGGGTAGATCACAGGGCTATATGCTCTGTGTTCCATGAGTCTGGGGGCAGGGTTGTGAGCCGAGGGGTAGGAGAGCAGGGGCTAGGGTGGCTGGTGGGAGGCCTCTGGGGTGGGTGGGGCAGCCACAGAGGTTGCTGTAGTGGAGAGTCTGGGGCCAGGCCTAGTGGAGTATTCACAGGGTGCTTGGTCCCACAGGGAGACTGAGACCCTAACACACTTGGGCAAAGCTCCTTTAAGGCTGCCTGTGGGTGGTGGGGCACAGAGGTACATCAGGTAGCTCTGTACATGGGCACCCTCCCCTCCCCAGCTGGCTGTTCCCCCCTACTAGCTCTTGGCTGCCAGATCAGGAGCCCAGGCTGGCCCCTAGCAGGGTGAAAGGTTTACACTTATTAACCATCTATAGGAGGGTCCAGGCTTCTGGTAATTGACAGGCCCCTTGGGGGAAGCTGTTCTTGCCAACTTTATTTGAGTCAGTTGAGCTCACAATTCAGTGGCACAAAAAGTAAGTTCACAGAGTTGTGCAATCATCACAACAGCACATTTTCGTCACTCCCTCTCCCCAAAGAAACCCTGTACCCATCAGCAGTCACCCCTCTCCCCCCTCCTCTCAGCTACCAGCAGCCACCAGTCTACTTTCTGTCTCCATGGATTTGCTATTCTGGACAATTTGTATAAATGGAATCATACCATATGTGGCCTTTTGTGTCTGGGTTCTATCACGTTTTCAAGGTTCATAACGTCTAGCCTGCATCCGTCTCCACTGCTTTTTATGGCTGAATAACATTCCTCTGTGTGGATTGACCACATTGTTCACCAATTTATCTATTGATGGGTGTTTGGGTTGTTCCCATTTTTTGGCTGTGGTTGATAGTGTGGCTATGAATACTTGTAGATGTCTCTTTTATGGTTGTTTGGTTTGTTTTCAGTTCTCTTGGGTATATACCGGTCTCCCCACTTTTGGCACCAGCTCTGGAGTTCCACAGACTTGGGTTTGAGGCCCAAATCCATTTTTTTACAAGCTATTGGTTTGGGGCAACCATTCTGTTAGCTTCACCACTCTCCTCATCTGTAAAATGGGCCTGTGAAAAGATGATAGCATCTGCACAGAGGGCCATTGCAAACACTCAGTGGGCAGGTTCCAAAGTGGGCGCTCAGTGAGCAGGAAGCACCACTGGGCTCTTCCAGTGTGTGGTCCGGGGGGAGAAGAGGACACAGAGTTCCAGTGCAGCTGTTTCAGGGGAACGCCCTTGAGGTGTGCAGTTGATGGTGTCATTTATAGGACCCAGGCCGCCCTCACTGGCACCACTGAGGCCCAGTGAGGTGGCCAGGAAAGGGCTGGGGGCACAGCCCATCCTGCTGCTCCTGCCTCCCTCCTGCCTGTGCTTCAACAACATAGTCCAGCAGTCAGGGGCCGTACAGGTAGGGGTATGAGGCCAGGGGTACCAGACACCAGCTGACACATGGTTAGGGTAGTAGTGCCAGGAGGAGTGCACACACTCCAGGAAGATTCCAGGACCAGGCACCAGGGGCCTCCAAGGGCCTTGCACGTGTGGCTGGCGCCCCCTGCTGGCGGATGAGGGGAGCACAGCTTCCTGTCACAGTTTGGGCGCCTCATGATGCTGCCCAGGAAACATTCCCTGCATGACAGACTTGACTTGGGCCCCTGAAACTGGATCCCACGGCTGTGGGGCCTCCAGATATGGCAGAAGTCTGGTGCCCCCTTAATCTCAGGGAGGCTAGGGAATCTGTGTGTGGTACCTGGGGCTTAGCCTCTGTGTGCCCCCATGAGCTGGTCAGCCCACGAGGCCCTAGGAGCAGATCCAGGCCTTGGCACATGGTGAGAATGCAGAACATTTGCTGCCAGGTTCGGGAAGGTTCTAGGCTCTGGCGGGGGTGGGGTGGGGTGCTGAATAGCCCAGCTTGGGCAGTGTGTGGTAGCACAGCGGTATGTGTCTTTGCCTGGCAGGGTTCCATCCCGGTTCTCTGTATCTACCAGGTCACCAGGGCCCATTTGCTGAGGAAGAAGTAGATTCAGTTCCAAGGTTAGCCCAAGGTTGTCAGTGTGGGAGCTACTAGGTGTCCTGGACCCCACTCACTTATCTCTGTGGTGCCTCTCGGTGTTTTCTGCCTGGTCTCGGGCACTTGCAGTTTCCTCTCAAGCCCACTTCCAATGACTTAATCATTTCCTGGTTCCTGTTGGTCCCCCTGGATTTCTATTGCAGCCTGAGTCCAGTCTGGCTTGCACCTTGCCCCAGGGTCACCTGGACCCTGCAAGAGGGAAGCTGGGGTGGGGCTGAGCCCATTGCCCTGCGCAGACTCTCAGCTTCTGCCAGAGGGTGGGTCCCCACCCCAAACCTCAGGTGGGAGCTGGGCACTTGGTGCCAATTCATCCCCCAGGTGTTTGGGACGGGCCAGTAGGGGGTTCTCAGCCCCGGGTAGTGCTGGAGTGGGAAGGGAGGAACTTTTCAGTTTGAGCTGAGTTTGAATCCAGACCTTCCTCATCATGCTGTGTGATTAGAATCTCTTTCCTCCTTGGCTGTACTTTTTTTTTTATAGAGACAGAGTCTTACTTCATTGCCCTAGGTAGAGTGCTGTGATGTCACATAGCTCACAGCAACCTCCAACTCCTGGGCTTAGGTGATTCTCTTACCTCAGCCTCCCGAGTAGCTGGGACTACAGGTACCTGTCACAATGCCAGGCTATTTTTTTGTTGCAGTTTGGCCAGGACTGGGTTTGAACCCGTCACCCTTGGTATATGGGGCTGGTACCCTAACCACTGAGCCACAGGTGCCACCCCCTGGCTGTACTTTGTTTGCAAAATGTGCTAGACCTTGTGGGTGGGCAGCTGCAGGGGACCCTGAGGGACAGTGGTGCCCCAGGCTTCTCCTCTTATCTCTGCCCTGCAAGGGACCATTTCATCTGCTGAAGACTTGGTGTGTTGCAAAGAGAGGGGACTGTCCTGAGGGGGCTTGGGACTCTTTGGGTGCCCAGTCCTCACACCTGCCTTCCCTCTGTTCCCACTTCCTGCTGGGCCCTGGCCCACAGAATCAGGGACCTCCCTGAGCTGCCTATCACCTGGGAGCCAGCGAGGATGAGCTGAGGTGTGTTATTCCTTCCTGCAGGGCCCAGCCTGCCCTGTTCCTGAGCTGCCCTCACCAACCCCTGCTGGCTACAGTTCTGCAGGACAGAAGCCTGAGGCTGTTGTGCATGCCATGAAGGTAAGGGTCACCACCTGCTCTCTAGGAGCCCCCAGATGCTAGGTGCACTGCTGGACTATAGGACCTGTGACCACATATGCCCTGAATCCAGGAGCATCTGAGTGGCAGTGGTGGGATGCCCCTCTGTGTGGGTGGCTGGTGGCCATCATGGCCTGCAGCACCGTGAGGGAGCCACTGCAGCTAGGGAAAGTGAGGCTTGGGGTAGAGGAGGGCAGGCGCTCACCCCAAAGCTAGAGAATTAGGAGCAGGAGTGGGACTGGAAGGACTCCCAGGCCCTCCCTCTGGGCAGCCATTGCCCTCACAGGTCCCAGGCTCAGGCGGGCAGGTTTCTGATTTCTCTGGAGCTCCACACCTGAGCATAGTGCCCACTCCTGTCCTTCCTGTGTGTCTGCACAAGGATGTCGTGCATGGGTGTGCATGGACATGCCCATGCTTGCACCTGTGCTGCCCACATGCACAAGTGCTGGCTCCTCCCTGCTGGTGGGCTCTGGGTTGGAGTGATGTAGAAAGCCCACCCAATCTGTCTTCTCCCAGCATGAGCTGGGGCTGCTGCTTCCCATGTATGAGTCCACAGTGAGGTGAGGGGATGACCTGCCCCTCAGTTTTCCCCATGCCCCTGTCCTCACAGTCCAGCAGCGGGGTCCTCCAGCTTCATTTTGTAGCAGGGAACCTCCCCGGGCCTGCTGGTGGCCTTTGCCCCTAACCCTGAGACCTGTTTCCTTCAGGTCCTGGAGGTACATGAGAACCTGGATCGGCAGCTCCAGGACAGCTGTGAGGAGGACCTGAGTGAGAAGGAGAAGGCCATTGTTCGCGAGATGTGCAACGTGAGGCACTTCCCAGGGACTGGGGATGGGGGTCTGGTACTGCTCATGTGATTAGGGCTGCCCAACATGGTAACACCCTTCCCCGTGTGGGACTCCACTAGTGCCAGGTGCCCTGGAAGGCTGGGGGGCCCTTAGAGGCCTTGCAGCCTGGGCCTGTCACCACTGCCCTGCCCTTCTCAGAGAGCTCTGGTCTCGGCAGATCTGCTTCTGCCCATGGAGTGCCATGACTGGGGTTTGGACAGAGCCTGTGCTCCATTCCCCCATACTCCTCAGCACTGGTCTTGTTTACCCTAGGTGCTTGCACACACCCTCCCTCCACAGCTTGCTGGTGCCCCCTAGTGGTTACTGGCTGGGCAGGGGGTGTTCAGAGCTAGAGGTGCTTGGAGCTGGCAGTGCAGGTATAAACTCTCTGCCCTGCTAGCAGGGAGGCTGGGGCTACCTTGGCTTCTAGAAATGATCCTGTCTCTGGGTCTGACCTGGAGACCCTCTTCCCTGACCCACCTGACCATTGTCATCTCTTCCTTTGCACCTTTGGGGGAGTAGCAGGGCAGGGATTTCACAAGGTCTAAACTGGGGCCTATGTGGGGGGAGGGGAGAGGCCCTGTCTCCTGGGCCTGTGAGCCCTCCCAGCTTTGAAGGTGAGCCACCCCCGCAATGACCTGCCTAGGAGGGCAGGTGTGGGGTGAGTGTGGGTGTGCAAAGACTTGGTCTGACCGACTCCAGGTATCCAGCACCTCAGTTTCCCTTCCTGGCTCCATGGCTCTGGACATATGGGTGATTCTGTAGAGCATGAGGCGGGTAGGTTGGGGTGAGCCCTCCACTCACACCTCACCTTCTCCCCTCACCTCACCTCTCTTTCTAGGTGGTCTGGAGAAAACTGGGAGATGCTGCCAGTTCCAAGCCCTCCATCCGGCAGCACCTGTCTGGGAACCAGTTCAAGGGGCCTTTGTAGGGCTGTTCTTCCATGGACATGGGCTCACTCTGCCTGGATTCCCAGGGAGAGTTCATGCCCTAGACATGGGCAGGACCTCTGGCTGAGCCACTGTCTTCTTCCTCTGTGGTGAACTGTACATAGGATGCTGCCTGCCCTGGCCTGGTTGCTGTGGGTCTCATGCTGACAGCCAGGCCTCCATCTGCTGCCTCACACACCAGCAAACTGGGAGGATGAGAAGCTATCGACCATTCACTGCAGCAGAGTGGCCTCCATGAGGATAGGCTGAAGGCCCAGGGATGTCCCAAGCTTCTCTGTCCTGCCCCCCACCCCCAAATGCCACCCGCACTGGACAGAAGCCACTGGATCCTCATGCAGAGGCACCACTTCTTGCCTGCATGCTGTGGCCTGCCACCAGCCCACCAAGAACTGGGTTCCCTTTGTCATGGATGAAGAAACTTGCTGGTCCATGGCTGGTTGGAGGCTGCTTTGGCATCTCAGCCTCTTCCTCTAACACCCAGCTCTGGGAGCCAGGGCCCCTCACTGCCTGGGGATTGTCCTCAGCTGTCTTGATGTCAGCTGCTGCTTGTTTTTAGAGCTCATCAGCCCCCACCTCCCCAACATAACTCTGCAATGTCCCCCCCACTCTGTGCCAGGTTGTGCCCCATCTTTTTGTGTTCCTTCAGCCCAGTGTCTGGGACATATCCCTTTCTGTGGTTTCCATGATGGGCCAGCTACATAGGAAGGTCCTATGGAGAGTTTCTGGAGAGCCACACAAGACTATCTTTGGATGGGTAGCATTGGGCCACAGCTCAGCTTTTAGTTGGCTGTGGCCTCTCCTAGGGCCTAGCCACAGCCTGGGTCACTGTTGATGGACCTATCAGAGCCACAGTTGACAAAAGTTTTGTTCTCCCTGGGGAGGAGTCTCCCGACCTAGTTCTGGCTTTAATTTGCTGTATGACCTTCAATAAGTCACTCAGCCTCTTTGGGCCCCTGGTGGAAAAATGGGGTCTCTGAAGTTCCTTTTTTCTCCCAGTGCAAGGCCATCCATTTCTAGATGGGGTCAATCTGTTGGAGAGGTACTGGGCAGGTGGGCTGGGCAGATCTGAAGCCCAAGTCGAGCTTTGCTGCCTCACTATCCCATCAAAAGTAGTTACTTTCCACTCTGAGCCTCAGTGTCCTCAGCTATAGAATGGGCAGCATAAGGCCCTCCTTACAGGGCTGGGGGGGGGGTCACATGACACCAACAGTGTAAAAGACCTGTACAGACTGTAAAGTGTAATAGTTAACTTTTTGTGTGCAGGGAGAATGAGGCCCAGAGTGGCTAAATGATTTATGGCACATTAGAAATGAGATCCCAGAACCTGTGAGACAGGGACAGGCCACTTTCCTGACATCAGTGAATGCCCTTGAGCCAGCCTCTGCTGTCCACATGTGCTTTGTCTAGCTCGTCCACCCATCAGACTCCTACATCCTCCCAGTGGTGCTTAGAGCTTCATGCTATAGCACTTGAAGAGCCCAAAGAGGTTGTCTTCCTATTAGCGGGTCTCATTTAGGTTCAAGTAGAAGATAAGGACCCAAGCAAGGGGTGAGAAATGACTTTTCTTTCTCTCCCCAGCTGGGGACTTTATTCTGAGCATTTACTGCTGGTGTCTGCCATCAGCTTCCTTGGGTCACACACTCTCAGGGGAAAGGCTTGCGGCCCTCACTGTGTCCAGGGAGTGCTGAGTGGGTGCTGGTCATGGGCATGGGCCTGCTGTTCTTGTTGAGAGTGTTATCAGAGGCTCTTTGGGGTCTTTAGGGGTGTGTGACCTGAAGCTGGATGACCATCTGTGGTCATACCAGGTAATTCCTGCCCAATTGGGCAGCTGAACTGGGGAGTGGGGAGGAGGGCCCTTCTGGATCTTGGAATCCAAAGAACCACAGAGCAGCCTGGGTGGGGGGTGGGTTCATTTTGGGTAGGAACTGAGTCTAGAGCCCATGTAAGTCCTATTTGGATCAGGTTGGCTTGGCCACCACTGAAATAAGCAATAAGTAAAGGCTCTTGGCACCTGCAGATCTCCTGCAATTTGGCCAAGGGAATGGCAGCCTTGAAGCAACCTTTCCCCTCTGGAGGGAAGTGACCCTCTTCCCTAATGCTGCATGGCATTCAGGGGATCAGTGGAGCATTTCTTTGAGAACCCTCCTGCCTGTGATGCCCCTGAGCCAACACAGCAGCATTGGGATGGTTTTCTAGGACAGTATTCTGCGACAAGTCATATCTCAGACATACCATACTAGCTGATTAAAAAAGCCAGCAGTGACTCCAACCTTACATTCCTGGATATATAATGGCAGTTGCAAAGAGCAGAGCCACAAGCTGGAGAGGGTCAGATGGAGCCTCCCATAAGGGGACTTTGAGGAGAACAGCTCAGTGTGACTTTTGGTTCTGCTACTAGCAGAGTGACAATAGGTGACACCTCCCTTCTGGAGCCTTAGCTCTGAAAGCACCTGGTGGGGTGTCCTTTCAGAAGCCACTTCCATTTCAAATGCTCCAATTCCAGATCTTGAAGTCCAGCGCTTGGCTTCAGGTCCCACTGTGATGAAATGTACCCTTCCAGCCTCACCCAGGTGGCCTAGCCATCCTGGAGTCATATCTGCTGAGCACATTTTATAGGGTGGCACATTTTTATTCAACAGTTATTAGCTACACATCAGTGTTTAAAGAAGAAAAAGTGACCTTTCATTTTTTTTTCTTGAAACTTGAGAAGAAACAAAATACATACTACTGATTTTTTTTTTTTTTTTTAAAGAAACTAAATGCATGACTGCAGAGAGGTAGAGGTGTATATTTTTCATACTGTGGGGTGGGGGTGGGGGAAGTATTTGTGCTGCTTTTTGGAGACGGGCTAGAACGTCTGGTTTCTGTCCCCAGGCCTGGCAGCTATGCTCTATTTTCTGTAGAAGGTGACTGCAATGAGACCTGGGGCCATCCCCTCCCACCCCAGTGCTGTGCAGAGTCAGGAACCTGGGGACTCCTGGCCCGTTCCTACCTTCTATTAAACCACTTTGATTTGGGGAGAGAAAAAGAAATAGAACTTTTTGATAGTGTGGTAAAAACACTGATTTGAACTATTTTAGTAAAAGGAGTAACAAATAAGATTGTGATAGTGTATACTTTGAGCTAGATAAATAAAGGCCTCTTTGCGAGCCTCTTGGCTGGGTGCTTAGTGCTTGTTTGTGTTGTGGGTGGTAGGGTTCCTGGATAGCCTCTTCCCCACATGGTGAGCTTCGGCCCTTAAGGGTGAATGGTGAAGGCTACTCCCAGTGCAGTTGCTTGTCCAGTCATGGCCAGAAATGGAAGTAATTTCCTGACTTAAGAACCTGTGTTCTATGCACAGGTGCCTGAAAGTTCAAAACTGGTTTGGAACGCAACCAGTTCCTCCAAAAACCAATGCAGACATGAGATGGTGGCGGCTGACCAGGAGGCAGTTACCCTAACCCACTCAGAGGTGTCCTGGGCTCAGTATGGCTGCTATGAGGTTATTTTGCCGGGCCTCTGCTTGGCCTTCAGGGTCCAGGGAACCCAAAGTGCTTCTGTGGATCCCACAATCCAGGGCTACTAAAGCCTGCTGTCCCACTTCCCACCCACAACAAACAAAAGGGTAGTTTCAGAACTGATTTTATTTGGATAACTGACTGAAGGAGTCTCATCTGTAACCAAGATGGAATTCACAGTAAGTTGTTACATTCACACTTAAAAAATATATCTCTATGTACAGGAATTTGCAAATAGATGTAAACATATGTGTACATTACTTTCCTAGTAAATACTTCTCCTTCTCCCTAGAGGGGAAAAAAAAAGCCATCCAACAAGGCAACCCCTTCAAAATAATTTTAATACAAAGGATGCAAACATTTATAAATCAAAAACGTGGTTCATCTGACCCTTCTGGGTGTCATTAGAACATCACTGAATAAAAACTATGACAACAGCCTGATTTCAGATGGAATTAGACTATTTAAAATTGAATTTCCAGGAAAAATAGGCACTGATTTCTAGAAGGAAAGATCACTCCTTACTGAAGCTATTTATTGAGCCAATATGGCTGGTTAACATTTATTACTAGTATAAAGTAACCCAGTGCAGGACTCTGATGATGTTAGTGGAAACCAAGTTACGTACACAGTCAGATGGCAAAAGGTGCTGCCCAGGCTACACTGAAAGCTGGCTGTCTCCATCCTCTAGACATGAGGAGCACCCCAACTTCATCCCAGGGGGCTGGTCCATTCTTTTCATACTGCAACTGTCTAGCATTATACAAGGTACCCTGCTGCTTACCCACCTAAACTATTCTTCAAGTTGATTAGAAAAACTCTTGTTAAAAAAAAAAAAAAAGAAAAAGGCGTCACGTTATCTCATCCAGGCTGCCCGCCCTAGCCCCCCAACTGGAGGCATGCCGGGTGGGGGGATAGGTGGGGGCACAGGTGGCTGTCCTCCAGGGGGGACAGCGGGAGGTGGGTAGCTAGCTGGTGGCAAGCCCAGGCCTGGAGGAGGGTGGGGTGGAACTGCGTGGGTTGGGGGCAGGCGTGGGGGTGGAGGCGGGAAGTTGGGGTTGTAGGTAGGTGGAGGTGGAGGGTAGCCAGGAGTAGGGGGAGGAATGGCAGGTGGGGGGAATGAGGCAGGGGGAGGGGGCACAGGTGGTGGGGGTGGGTTGGGGGGGTAGACATGGGGGTGATAGGGAAGGTGAGCGGGTGGGCCATAGGCAGGGGGCAGGGCACCATAGGAGGGGCCCTCAGTCTTCATCATGGACTGCAGGCTCTGGTAGCCCTCTCCTGACATGTAGGAGCTGGTAGTGGACATCCCCGTCATGTAGCTGGAGGGGGGTGGAGGTGGGGGCCGGTGTGGCAGCGGTGGTGGCTGGTGCACGGGGGCCGGGTGGGCCGGAGGAGGAATCTGGACTTTGGGGAGGTCACTGGCATCCACTGGGCCTGGTGGCTCAGCCTCACCTAAGGCAGCGGCAAGGGGAGGCTTCCGGTCTGCAGGAGAGAGATAAGTCATTGCCTGGCTGTGGCTCAGTACATTTGGTCCCTGTGAAGGGACTGGCAGGCAGTAGCTCCTGCAGAGGAGCAGGGAACAGCTGCCATCTCTGTGGCCCAATGTGTGGGCCTACATCCCATGTCTTGATACCATTATGTATCTCCCCACTATTTGTCAGAAGGGCCCTCCCCATGACTGTGATAACCCTGTGTTTCCCTCCCTCAGCCCTGATCTACAGATCCCTCTTCCTAGCACAAACACATACCCAGGCTCCTCAATCTTTCTGCCTGTCTCTACCCCCAGAGATTGACTTTGGGAGCCAGAGTCACATCGAATTACTGTCTGTAGCACTGGCATTTTGCAGAAAGCCCAAGAATTGGTCAAATGAATGCAGTGGCATTTAAAAAAAGATTGTAAAGTCTCTGTCATTCCCAATGTACCCATCAAAGTAGCAATTCTGGTTTTATTTTACTGAAGAGAAGCCAGATCACTGTACACTCTCAGCAGTTTCCTCTCAAGATGAGTACTTGCATGTGTGTGCAGTGGGGCAGGCAGCACCTGGCATTCCCGAGACACTCGCATGCTGAGAACCCACCCTCCATGTGTCCCAGGAGGCCTTAGAGGGTGCTGGCATGTTCCCACACAAGCCTTAATGCCACAGCCAGCTGGGTCCACAAACATGCTCTTTCCCTTTTAAGAAACTAACTCTCATAACATTCAACTCTGAGGCCTCTTCAGTGACCAGTACACCCAGCTTTGTCCTTTGGGCCTGAACTGGAACAGGAAGTGGTCTCCCCTCAGCACCTCACTCCCTTCTGCATACCTGATATCTGAATACCATAAACCGTCACCAAACTACCCCCTAAGCATCATTGCTGACCTTAACATCTCTCCAGTCATCTTGCACCTCATGGGAACCCTAGCTCTCTCCTTTCTTCACTGCCAGGCTCTGTTCTCTCTCCAACCATGGCCCCTTTAACAACTATCTGGCTCCCAGATCTCGCTCAAGTCCCAGGCTCGCCCCCAGCTATCCACAGTGGGAGCCCTTAAACATAGGCATTGGTACCTGGGCCCCCATGTGTCACATCTCTCCTCAATGGAGACATAACCCCCAGCTCAGGAGCAAATGAACTGTATTTAATGATCCATAAATATTAAATAAGCAACTGCAGGCATCTTTTTAATAAGCAAAGTTCATATTGAACTGGGGATTGTGGGATTTGGCCTGAAGTAGAAAATGATGCCTCTGTTCACTCAAAGCATATAAACCTCCACGATAGAAAGAAACAGAAACTGACTCAGCAGCCCATTTGTTACAGACACACCTTTCTGTAAGCCACATGTGCCAACCAATGTGCAACAGACTAAAAGAGCTGCTGATGGGGCACAGAGAGATCTCTGGAATTGCCACATGTTTTGAACAACATGTATTACCCCTGGCCTTCTCTAGATTAATGGTTTATCTTCCAAAATGCCCAGGTAAAGAACACTGTATTCTTTATAACTCTCCTCCTCTTTCCTAGTGCTGTTAGGAGGCTTCCCAGGTCACTGTGTACCTGTTGAGAACTTTCCATTCTTTCATGTACTCTCCATGTGACTCTGAACAATTGCTTATTCTTCAAAATGCCCTCAGAGAAGACATCCTGCTAACAGGAAGCAGGTGTGAGAGAGACCTGGAGTCTAACATATAGCAGTTCTGCCTGGATCTTTGGCAGAGTTCTGTTTTCCTAAAACTCACTCTAAATCCATTTATCATGTGCATTTCTGGAGGTGAGAGGTTAGAGAATATACAGATGGACTTAAAATTTGTAACATCTTCAAATAAGGACAATTTCTGAAAGATCCTTGTACATGGCTATTTTTTAAGTCTCGGCCACATAGTCTCTTTTCTCTAAGCTCCCAGGACCTGCCACATCTGTCCTTCCAACAGGTTACAAGGACAGCTAGCCAAGCTGCTTCAGCAGGTGCTTACCTGGAGGTGGGTGGGCTGGAGGCAGTGGTGGGTGAGTTGTCTCAATTTTGGGGATTTTAGGTGGCGGTGGTTCTAAAAAGAAAAAGTGGATTAAAAAACCACTCATACCTTTTCATGTGAATAAGCATGTCATCAAGAAAAAAGAAAAAGACAAACATACTACCAGAGATTTCTTTGGGACAGTTAGAACAGATATGGCCAAGACTTTAGGAAGGCTTCAGCTAAACCAGTATGCTCTAATCCTGTTAACAAATCAAATACCAAAGACAAAACCCACTAGCTTTGTCATTGGGCCATTGCCACATCTGCCTAAGTTTCCTCACCATTTCAGACGAGTCCTTCCAATGTGGGAACTGCAGAGCAGTATCTCAGTTACCAGGGCTCTTCACCTGGAGTCCTCACGCCACAGAGGCAAACACAAGCTCCCGGTAGCAATGGCATGCTACCAAACCCCTGGGTGCTTACAAGAGGAATTTCTACTTTTGTATTCTTAGACAAATTATTTTTTCTCTCACAAATACTGATTTCCAGCTGGCCACATGCCAAAAGCAGCACATTAACTGAAGTCAGTAGAGTGATGGAGGCTGGTGTACAGACAAGAGGAAGAATACAATGTTCATAAATGCACAAAGTCAGGACAACTCAGAGTAGAAAAAAATAGTCTATCCTTTGGGATCAGATAGCATAATGTAACCAGCATCCACAATGACAGCACTAGGTTTTCAAGAGAGGCTACAGAACAGGTGTCCTCAAACTACGGCCCACGGGCCACATGCAGCCCGCCTAGGACATTTATCCAGACTGCCTGGTGTTTTTGCCGCTGCTGCCTGTCCTGCTTAGCAGCCGACTCGTCCCGGGGCCCGCAGTCTGGCCCTCCAACGGTCTGAGGGACAGTGAACTGGCCCCCTGTACCCCTGCTATAGAAGTTCAATCTCTTCTATTTAAGAGGCAGAGGGTGTGCACACTCAAAGGAAAAAGAACTCTTTCTGTTTTTATGCTGTGTCTTCCTGAAACATACTTTAATCTGGCTTGTACACCACTCAGATTTGCATGTCCTCTGGCATTGCTGACCACTTTCTCTTGGTTTCCTTCCTCTCAAACACAGGCTGAATTCAAGCTTCAGGGACTTTTCTCTTTATCTTCTTCCTCAGAGACTCAACTCCCTCTAAGCAGATGACTGTAAACCTTTATCTCTATCATCCATCTCTCCACCAAAACCATGGGCCATCTCCAGACTCACGTGCCAGCACCTTGCACTCTACCTTTTCCCTCTGTGTCATGTAGTGGTATTACTCTCACCTCAGACATGCACCTCCTCCCTCTCTTCCCACAGCCAGTCAGCTAAAGCTATCTAGATCAGTGCTGTCCAACAACATAATAAATGCCACATATATATGATTTTAAACTTTTCAGTGGCATGTTAAAAATAAAAAAAAGTTGAAACTAATTTCAATGGTATTTTATTTCGATCTGATAGGTCAAATATTATATTTCAACAGGTAACTAATATAAAACTTCATTAATGAGATCCTTTACATTCACTTTTCTTACAAACTCCTGGTAATCTGGTGCATACTTTGTCTTGGCTAGTGCACGGTAATATTGTGTTTGCACACTTTTGGAGTGCTCTGTAGCCCTGGGGCTATTGGCCCATGCTGCGTGGTGTTGCTGAGACCTTATACCATGGGGGGCACTGCCACCTGCCACACCACATCTTACTTGGGTGTCTCCAAGCTTCTCCCCATTTCCAACCACGTGTCCTATTTACTGCTGCCAGGAAACTCATTTTTTTTTTTTTTTTGACAGGAGCCTCAAGCTATCCCCCTGGGTAGAGTGCCATGGCATCACGCTCACAGCAACCTCCAACTCCTGGGCTCAAGCGAGTCTCTTGCCTCAGCCTCCCAAGCAGCTGGGACTACAGGCGCCCGCCACAGCGCCTGGCCATTTTTTGGTTGCAGCCATCATTGTTGTTTGGCGGGCCCGGGCTGGGGGTTCGAACCCGCCACCTTAGGTGTATGTGGCTGGCGCCTTAGCCACTTGAGCCACAGGCGCCGAGCCAGGAAACTCATTTTTAAATGAACTTTGACTTGCCATCTCCCTGCTATCTCCAATGGCTTTCACTGCCTCTGCAAAATCCATATTCCTCCAGGCAGACTCTGTGATCTGGTCCTAAACCACATTTTCAACTCCACCAAAAGCTAGTTCCTTTCAACTCTTTATATTCCAGGAAGACTCCTCTCCATTTTCCCCAAATGGTCAATTCCTTTGACCACTTGCATCCTTCTACCTAAAAGCTCTATCCCCTGAACTTTAGCTGCTCAAAGGCAAGTCTTCCTCCGGGTTTATGAGTGACTTTTCTCCTGCCTCTCTGACAGACCTGCACATCATCACATCCTGACTGCACACTCCACATGGCATGGAGCATGGCCCACTCTTGTGTCTCAAAGTTAATGTCTGTCAATTTGCAGTTAACAAAAATTCACCTGTACTGAACTCATCATTTCCTCACAGACACTGAAAAAAAATTTAGCTTTATCCTAACTTGAAGACCTCACAGCAGGTTAATGAATGAGTAAATATGGTCAGTGCCTACAAAGAGTTCAGTTTGACAGGGCAGACTGACACAGATAAAACATTTCTAATTTTTTGTTCTGTAATGTTTCAGATTTTGCTCACTTCCTCTGTTTATAATATAGAAACAGATTAATCAGCTTTGGGTGCTTCAAATGTGAAAAAGCCCTAATGCATTTAGAAGAAGGCAGGTTGGGCCACCATGGCTCTCTGGGCAGTACACCACAGTCCACTTCCCAGTCTTCACCCTGACCATGCTTCGGGCTCATGAGGGGATCTTGGTGGCCCTGGACTCTTGCTGCTATAACTGGCATATGAATCTCTAAAAATTGCTGCAACAGTTCTCGTACATCTATATTTTATATATGTTACGGAGTATATTTTTATTGCCAATAATGTCTTCTGTATTGACACCTATTGTTAGAATACAATCTAAAAATATATGGTCAGCTGAGAAACACAGAAGATAGTGTACTTTTTCTGGTAGACAGAGAAAAGTTTTTGATGGGCTCTAAGGTTAAATTTTAAGGCCAATCTGTATAAGAAAGGAAACAATGTTGGCTAAGAATTTAAATGAATTTAAAGTTTTGTATAGAGACACATAAAACTAAAAACAAAAAATCAGAACAGGAAATTACCTGCTGCTTTGTTCTCTTCTTTGGGAGAGACAACCTGTTACAGAAGAAAATATACAATTGTTAACTAAGTGCTGGTATAGTGAGGAGAAATAAGGATTATCCAGGCACTCCTAGAATCACAGTGACAGAACAGGGCCTCATATTTCTGGCCTAAACTTGCAGGGCCTCTAATAGATTATCATTTCTACTCCCTTCCTCTTTCCCTTTTCCAACTCTGACAGACAGACTACATTAGAACAGCAGGTTCTGAACATTATTTCTGGTGTCCTACTGCACTTCCTGTAGGTGATCCTTGGTTATGCTGATGTGAGCGCATCCCACATGGCTTCCTGTGGGGGCTGGGGACAACAAATGGCTTCCTCCACTGGGTGGGGTTGCTACCATGGAGAAAAACAGACTTGTGATCCTACTACTAGGAACTTTTACAAATACCCCATGTGACTTTAAAGAACTCAACACTCATGAAGGGCACTGAAGAGACAATTTCTCTAGTAGTCAGCACACAGTAGTCAGGACCACTCAGGGTGGAGGAAACAGTTCACCCTGTGGGGTCAGGCAGCTGCATGTAGTCTGCTAGGTTTTAGTTCACCAAAACTATGAGCTTTGACAAAGAAAAAACTTATATATTAGAGTGTAATTAAAGATGCTTCTGAAAAATTCCTTATATGTACCAATTTTGGAAAATCCATTCTTGGGACTCAAGGTTCACAGGCAGAGTAAACATGGAACACTACCACAAGGAAGTTCAGCTCTGATAGGAGTCAGAGCCCTAGCAGAGATGACACAGATGGTGGGCACTGCACTAGGAGGATAGAGCCCTCCTGATTCTCAGAGAAGCCCTTCCTCTGAAACCTTCCTTGGACCACATTAGCTTTCAGGCTCCCCACTGACACACAGTCAGACTGAACACCCCCTTCTTGTGTTCAGTTCAATCTATCAGAAATGGGAACGGTGTTCAGGTGTGGTACTGCCAGTTGGAAAGCTCACCACGTCCAGGGCCCTGCCACAGCCCACTCACCACAGCTCGTTTAACCTGTCGGGGAGGACTAGGCTGTGGAGAGGGTTTCTTGGGCTGCTGCGCTTGCTGCTGCTGTTGCTGCTGCTGCTGCTGCTGCTGGGCTGACTGCTGGGGGTCCTTTTGCTGAGGCTGGGATGGTTCAGAGCCTTGAGATGGTTGTGACTGTTGTACTTGTGGCACTTGTGGTGTAGGCTGAAGAGATGGGGGCTGCTGCAGCTGATGGGGGGTGTGATGAGGCATCTGTTGTTTTCCTTGTGAGTAAAGATCCAGGATTTGGTGGCAGATGTCTAAACAATAGCCGACAATTATATTTAGTAGAAATTCGTATTTTAGATAAAATTTTACCTAGCAAAAAATTAGTTATGATTTCCCTACAAGGACCAATAAGCAGGAATCACGTTTGCAATCCAATCAATCTTTATTATGCACAACACTAGTGTATATTTTTTAGTTCACCAAAACTATGAGCTTTGACAAAGAACAAACTTATATATTAGAGTTTAATTAAAGATGCTTCTGAAAAATTCCTTATATGTACCAATTTTGGAAAATCCATTCTTGGGACTCAAGGTTCACAGGTAGAGTAAACATGGAACACTACCACAAGAAAGTTCAGCATGCACAGTACCTTCTAAAACGTCAACAGGGACATCTTGAACAAATTGTTCCCACCATCTCCTATACATGGGTTTAGAGGTCCATTCTTGTATTTCAAATTTGCACAAACGTCCTGCAAGATACATCACTGCTACTGCTATGATCTCTGGTTCCCACTGTAGTGACAAGGTGGTGCACAGACTAGTTCAATAAGAAAAGAAAGATTACCTGAATTGTATGATCTAACACAATTAAACCAATGCATGCAGATTAGAAGCCATATTTAAATGTTAATTTTCTTATTCTTCCCTAAACATGATTAACTGTAAATAAAAAAGGAAGCCTTTAGTCTTGTCAAGGTATCACATTCAGTTAACCATAGTTACTAATTTGTTTCTTAAAGAATCAGAAGGATTTTAGCACATTTAAAAATAGCTACATTTCATGAAAATACAAATGGAAATGATTTATGTTCTTTAAATTATTGAAATCCTAGCCACTGAATTGCTTCTTCTAATGAAATCTTATGAGGAGGTCAAATATGAGAGAGGCTTCTCTGACTGCCACAAGGTAGGGCTGACAGCAACTCTGTCCAGAGGCACTCTGTTCCTCACCACAGCACCTCATTAAATTCTGGGCTATAAGAAGAACAGACCCTAAAACCATTACAGGAAAGTATTTTTTTTATAGAAGCAAATGGGGGTCTACGTATTTAGTTGTCAAAATTTTCTGGAATACTGTTTGGGACTCGTGTTTCAAACTGGTGATAAGATTTCAGCATCTCACACCACCACGTCATGGCAGGGCAGAAAGAAACTCCTCTGCTGGGAAGCAAATGAAGTGAACTTTAGCCCCAGCTTGGCCATTAAGCCTCACATTCCAGTGCATGTAGTGGGTGGGTCAGGGATGGACCCCATCGAAGGTGCTTTTAGTACATCAGTATTTGTTAGTGTTTCTGACCATGTTAAAGCCAGAATGAGAAAGAGGACAAGACAACATGTGGGGAAAAAAAATGTTGGTAGGGGCAGTCCCTGATCATCCCCTCCCCACTGGAATGTGACTGATTAACTGGCTCTTTAAGGAGAGGCAAGTCAGTTTCTTCTGATATAAAATAAGAAGTTTGGGTTAAATGAGCCATAAAGTGTCTGCTTATTTTAAAACATTATAATTAAATCAACATTCATTTGAACGTGAATACCTGTCATTTACAAATGTCCATGCCATTTGAACCAGCTTTTGAATTTTGTTTTTATCACCTACAAGTGGGGAAGAAAAGGTAAATTATTAGTAATAGAAAAAAAAAACTCCACGAGAATTTATTTAAAACTTCTTATGTACTTAGCCTCATTCTAATACACAGCAAAGAGCCTGAGCCTGGGAAATGAGGACAAATGATGTGGGTCCACATCTTCCCTCTGTTCTTTTCACATGACCTATACTAAACCACCATTTATAGGAAACTCGGCTCCAAGGCTAATTTATTAGTCTATTTAAAACATTCTGAGTCATTTTCCTGTCTTCTTTTTTTTTATTATTAAGTCATATATACATAGATCATAAATACCTTTGTGGGATTCAATGTGTTATTTATACAAACTGGAGTTCTTACATTCTACTAATTGACATAGCTTTTATCTCATTTACTTAATCACAGTGTTAAGACATTTGTGTTCTATACTTGATAGATTTGACTTGTACCCTTGCAATATGCTTCATAGGTATGGTCCCACTATTAACCCTCCCTCATTTTCCTGTCTTTTATATCACTTGTCAACGAGATGACAGTCTGTTTACGCATTAAAGAAACAGCATTAACAGGTAAGATTACTGAATTGTCCAAGCAAACTACATCTTCAGTACTTTACACATTGAACTTACTATTTTCTTCTTTTGAGAAGTGTAATTTGAGTATTATATTATAAAAAAGTGATTTAAGAATAACAGAGTTCTTTAAAAAACTTTTTCTTACCTTTGAGTTGTTTTGCATATTTGAGTAGAAATTGGTATGGATGTTCTACCTGTAAATCAAACTTTATGGTCTGTAGTAAGATTCTTTCCAGAACCATTACTTCTTCCTAAAAATAAAAAAGCAAATGTTGGGATAATAATTACCATCACAAGTTTTAAACTGCATTTAAAAACTGAGCATTCTTGTCTATTTATTCTCTCTTCAAGTTACATTTTAAGTTTTTTATATAGAATAACTTATATGTGGAATAACGTTTTTATTCCTTTTCTCCTCTTTCTCAATCAGGTTTTTTTTTTTTTGGTGTCATTGAGTTAGATATGATCCCACTCAGGTTTTTAACAGAGACACTAACAAATTCTGAGAAGAACTCTGAGGAGGAAGATAAAATAATCACAAGGTTAACTAAAAAAAAAAAAACCCAAAACAACCTGGGAAACTAAATAAAGATCCTCAGAAATATTATTACTTTTAATATATACATGAGTCTCTCTTTATAAAACTTAGTTTTACTTTATAGATAATTGGACTGAACTGTGTAGATTCTTTCAAGACCCCCATTAAAAAAAATAATCCCTGAGGAATTTTCATTGAAACTTTAAGAAGGAGATTACAATAGCCAGCCTCATGAAAACTCAGTAAGTTCTATCTACAGTATGTATGTGAATACAGACACAGGCATATACAGTGTATGTGTGAACAGAAGCACATTATTTTTATACCTAAATCTTTCATGATTGGAAATTAGCTGTCCCGACATCATTTACTGAATGAGTTATCATTTCTTATTTAAAATATTACTCTAATCACATCCTAAACTTTGTGTATGCATAAATATATACATATATATACACATATAAAATGTTTTCTGTTTATTGATCTACTTCCATACTAGGATCAAAAGGATATGGAAGAGAAACACAGTAGTTCCATTATTACTTCTCTTTCTCAAAAAGTTTCTTCTTATTTTTGCATATCCCTTCTCACTTAAATTTTAGTATCATTTTATTTAATATCATTCTAGGAAAAAAAGCTATTGATATTCTGAGAACTCACTGAACTTACAGAACAATTAGGAAAAATAGAGATTTTAACTATCAAAAATTTATTTATTAAAATCTTTTCAGTCCTTTAGGAGTTTTAAAGTCTTCTCCACCCCAACAAGGCTTCCACGAGGTTTCTCTTTGGATATTTAACTTTTGCTATTGTAAATGAAATCTCCTCTTTTATTATACTAATTACCTAATGTCCCTAAACAGGTACTTCTTGAATTCAACTGCTATGCTGCCTAGCCTGATTGTATCTAGCACTGAAGACAATGTAAAATAAAACCAAGACACTGTGCAGGAAGAACAAATTGGACAGAATTACTTATTTGGGATCAGAGAAGAAAGGGCGTTGTAGAGAACTGAAAATCTCACCGTTTGCATAAACCTATTAACTTCAGAAAAAGCAGACACGCAGGTAACAGCTTTTCATTTAGAAGTATGGCATTACTTCATAGGACACAGATGTGATTCTATAATGATTTACTACTCCAAATAACATGGCAAGGTTTTTCTACCCTAGTTTCCTAAATGTTTTCTCATGAAAGCTTTTTAAAATCTCAGTAACTTTCACAGAGTATTAAAAGAACTTTATTTCTTTTGCCTATCATTGTCCCTACCTATTCCCCAGCAGCTTCAATATTTCCCCTAAATTTAGAAACAATTCTTTTACTAAGTGTGCCATCTGGCTTCCAGGTTATAGTCCATTTAGTGCCACAAGACAGCTCAAGGCCTGCCCTCTCTCTGTGGTTCTAAATATTCAATTAATGGGGTAATTATAGGTATTCAAGCAAACATTATTCCTCAGGGAAGCTTTCTTTCAGCTCCATATTTCTCTGGGGTACTTGTCCAGGTCTCTGGGTGGAACACTGTCATAGCCCCTTTAAATAATCTTTTATAGCATTTATCATAGTTATAATCAAATATGATTATTTGACTGAAATTCATCCTGTCATTAAGGAAAGACCATGCCTGTTTTGCCAAGTATTTATGTCTAGTGCCTAACACAGTAGCTAAAATATTTGCTAAATACATGATGATTATAGGGAAAAGCTATACAGCTAAGGCAAAGCTAATTAAGGCAAAAAAAGTTCCATGTGTTTCAGTCTTATTTTGCCTAAATACACTGCCTCCCCCAAATAAATGCCTTCATTTTCTGTTAAGGAAAGCATCTTCCATGGTGTCTTCACTGCTCCCACATCCAGGGTGCTCTCCTTTGGCCCCTATTTCCCAAATCATGTCTGGGAAAACCGCACAAGGCAAAGGAAGGGGCAGGCTGCAAAGCTTTCTTGCCCTTTCAGGTCTAATTGGTATGGCAATCCTCCTTTTACTATAGGGGCTGCAGAACCTTTATTTCACTGTGCCTGGACCAGGGCTTGGTATTCTGATTTGATGCTATCGTGGATGTATGCTCAAAGTCAAGGGGGACTTCTCCAAGGCACCGGGGGACAGTACACACCAGCTGCTGCCATGTGTCTTCACCATGCCATGGGCCCAGATCTGTTTGATGCTAATCCTTAACCACGGCTTGTCAGCCACAAGATTCACCAGCCTGAGGATCAAGACTTGACTGATGCATAGCACGTCCCCACACTTGGACTTGTGACACTCAGGGCACAGGGCCTCATGAGTTGGTAAAAATCAAATACCCATGGGCATCAAAAACTTTATCTGATGGTTGAATTTTTAATTATTAATGAGTTCCTAATAGGTTTCAAGTTTTATAAATAGGCTAACAGATACATAATTAAGTTTAAGGACAGTATTATACTGACAATATTTACAAAATATTAGTGTTAATTATAGCCACAATATGTACAAAAGCAGCTTTGGGTCCTGTTAACTCCTCAAAGCAGTGAGGAAATGACTACACATTTTATATACACACATATAAATATTATTTGGCAAAGAGAAAAATAGTGATGTAAGATAATACAAGCTAGTTAAGAAAAAAAATAAGACAATGAATGGTGTTGAACTTAATCACCTTAGCTTTAACTGTGATTATGAGTTCTCCCATATAGTAGCAGTCATTTATTCCACAAAAGTAGCTGCTGAATGCCTACTCTGTCCTGCTACTGAAGTAGACATGAGACAAAACAGACACAGTCTTTATTCTCATGACTTTTCCAGTAGAGAAGGGGAGAGAATTATGTGCATGATTATTTGAGAAAAATTTATCTAATGGAAACTTAAATGCATAGTACTAACTGAAAGAAGCCAAAAGGTAAAACTATGGGGACAGTAAAAGATCTGGTTGCCAGGGGTTAGGAGGGAGGGCGGGATGAATACACTGTATGACATTATAATGGTGGATACATGTTATTATACATTTGTCCAAACCCACAGAACATAAAAGACTAAGAAGGAACCCTTATACGTGTATAAACTATGGACTCTGAGTGATGATGTGCTCATACAGGCTCATCAGTAATAACCAACACACTTCTCTGGTGGAGGATTCTGATAGTGGGGGAGGCTGTGTATGCATAGAGCAAATCTATGGAAAACTGTACTTTCCATTCATTTTTTGCTGTGAACCCCAAACTACAGTAAAATACAAAGTTTTTTTAAAAAACTAATATTATGAAGGATAATTAACAGGTGCTAGAAAAGTTATAATAGGGAGATGGTGATAAAAATGGAGGTGGAGGAAAAATGCCATTGGTCCCTGAAAGTGGTATTTTTAGAACACAATAAAAGCATGTGTTCAATTATTTGTACACCACTTGCTGACATTGGGAGGGGTTGTGGGGTAGGAATAGGATGGATGGTATGGTCGTATAAATCTCTGAATGCCTGAAAGTGCTGCAAACATTGAAGCCTTTTAATATTCTTGGGACACAAAAGACAAATGGCATATGTAGGGCATCTGTACACGTACATGTAGCATATACACTTCTGTTTGACCCAGAAGCTAGCTGGAGATATGACCCTGCCATCACCACTAAACCTAAGAAGAGTGCTAACACCAATAAGGGGACTGCCTCTACAATGCTTAGAACACTACTGGGCACATTAGGAAGCACCATGCAAGTGCATTAAGTGTTGGATACATTATTTTTCCCTATTCTTCTACAAAAGCAGGGAGTATCTTCTATATAAGGTCCTCTTAGGAGCTCAAGACAGTGGTAGACACCCCTGCCAACACAAGGAACAGTTTTAGAATACTACCACAAGGAATGAACACGTAAAGGCAAGAAGTTATGGTTCTTACCTTTGGGTCATCTCCAAACTGGCCAAACTGAACATCATTTAATAAACTACGAGCTGTTTTGATGATATCTTTACATTTTTTTGGTGTTTCTTCTACTTTCCCAGCCAGAAACAGACAACAAGCTCCTGTCACCTAAAAGGGAGATAAAAGGTCTTAATTTTTGTTATCAACAATCACACAGAGACAACCACAAGGATTTTTGGCCCTCATAATAAACCCGTTCCCCTGATTCTTCTACTTTTCTTTCTCATTTATAAATACTCTAATACTCTAAAGCCTGAAGGAACTAAAAGAAATTTTACACATATAACCCCCCCCACACAAAAAAATTGGTTTCATAAATTATTTAAAATTTAATTGTCTTAAGAAAATCTCATGTAAACAAAGAATATGCCAAAAATGAAAAGTCACAGAAATTAACTTCCTTTTTATATTCCAATCTGAAAGATGACAACCCCAGAACAGTAAGTCCTGCTATGAAAAAAGAAAGAGCACAACTCAATGTGTGTCCTGTGGAATCCATCCCCATACCACTGCCCACACATTCCTCTCTGATATAGTTCTCCCACAACTCTCCCCAGCGTGGTGCTATTAAGAGATGGGGCCTTAGGGAGGCGATCCCTCATAAATGGGATTACGGCCCTTATAAGAGGCCCAAGAGAGTTTGTCCCTCCTTTCTACCATGTGAGGACATATAGAAGGCACCCTTCATGAGGAACAGGCCTTCACTAGACAATGAAACTACCCAGTACCTTGATCTTGGACTCTATAGCCTCTATAACTGTGAAGAATAAGTTTCTGTTCATATGCATACATTACTCAGTTTAAGGAATTTTATTACAGCAGCCTGAACAGACTAAGATGCTGTTTCCTCAGTTACCTCAACCCTGGTTTAGTCCTTATAGTGCTGAGGTCTGTACTACTCCATCTTCAGCTTCTCTACATTCCTTCTGATCCCTTCCATGTACCACTCTCCTCACATAATACCAATCACACTGGATGTCAAACACCAGCCAGGGGTACAAAAACTGATTCCGCCACAGTCTTCTCCTTCAAGAACGTCACAAATTAGTGAGGAAGCTATGCATATTAATCTAAGTAAAATCTTAGCACCCCACCCCCCCAAACCAAAACAGACCAATAACATAATCTTCCTGTTAAGTCTAATTATATCATCTTCTTCATGAAATCTTTCAGTCACTTCACTGTTTATCTACAAATTTCTGAAGTCTGGTGTTCAAAGTTCATGATGGTAGGTGAAAACTTTCACATAGGGTCCCATCATTCCCATTCTGCCAAATGAAGCTCCTGGCTGGGCAGACAACATGCTGCCTGCCTGCCCTTGTGTCTACTTATACTAGTTTCTGTTGGACTACTGACTGAGCATCTCTATGCCCAATGTATTTTTAAGTTTTTTAACTTACTGCTGGCACCTCCTTCTTAGCACCTTCCCTGCTTTCTCTAAGATGTAACTAATCTCCTCCTTCAATGCTACAGCACTCTCTTCCTGTACCTCTCTGATGGCTTCACTTCCTATCCTGGACTAAAAGCTACTTGAGGGAGCTTCCCTGTCTAGATTTCCTGCAGAGAATAAGACAAAGTACAGGGTCAAGGAGTCACTGAAGAATAAGCAACATGACACTGTGAATTTCTCTTCCATTTTGCTTCTTTGGTTATTGTTGTGTCACCATTATAAGCCCAGATTTAACTCTGGAAATATAACAGTGAAGTCAACTTTAATACAAAGTGTAATATGACTATGGTCCATATTAGCCTGAATGAAAAAAGATTTGAACACGGTTAATGGAAGCAACGAAGTTTAATCCTAATTTTGTTCATATCTATTATATACCATATAAAAATAAATATTTTCTGAAAAAATATGATAAAAAGAGACTATAATTAATTCACCAAACTGTGTGAAAATAATAACATATGATAGTAATTATAATAAAATCCAAATACTTACATATCTTGGGAATTGCTTGAAGGAATGAAACATATAGAAGCGATGAAAATAAATTATTCCAGTTGCTAGGGTATCATAGTGTCTGTTGTTTTGTTAAGGACTCTAACCAATAACTTACAGGTTATTTTCTTATTTCAGTGCAGAAAAACAATAAGTATAAACAACAGTAACAAAATCAGTGGTAAACAGCATCAGTGGCAAAGCAGGAAGATGGAAATCTCAGGGTATTGGAATTCTGGTTTTATGCTTTTATAAGCTGTTAGAAACATTTCAACTGTGATCTTAATGGGCACCTGTTTTCCTTCTGGGTGGCCACCTGCTCATGGCTAAGTCTATACTTTTAAATGATAAACCTGAAATAGAAAAAACTCTGAAGAGCCAGGAAAATCAGAAACAATATTTAAATAACACACATATTTAAGAACTATTCTGGTACAGAGAAATTTCTGTATATTATATCTACAGTACCAAATGTAATTCTTGGCAGCAGTGGTGGACCCTATCTACAACAGATTCCAGGAAGAGTCAGGATACAGCCCCAAACGTGTGCCCACATCAAAGATGAACCGAGCCCCCTCTCGGCGGTACCGGGCCTCAGTGGCTGGATCAAGTCCTTCGAGTTGTGAGGGTGTATGAGCCAAGTCTTTCTTATCCCAGTACCAACATGGTTTTGTGTGGTCCAGGTTTGCTGAAGTTACTGAAGGGCTTGAGTTTTCTTTATTCTCCTTCATTTATTGAACTAGACTTTTGTTCTTTCCAAAAGGTTCTATGAAAATGTTAGAGTCCTAAGAGAAAGATAAAAAGAAAGCAAAGTTGGAAAGGGATACTCCACGCTATGAGCAATCCCAACAATTATGAATAATCTACATCCTTAGATAGTACCTGGATTTTTTTTTTTTTTTTTTTTTTGTGACAGAGTCTCACTTTGTCACCCTAGATAGAGTGTTGTGGCATCATAGCTCACAGCAACCTCAAACTCTTGGGTTCAAATGATTCTCTTGCCTCAGCCTCCCAAATAGCTAGGACTACAGGCACCTGCCATAACGTCCAGCTATTTTTTTTTAGAGATGGGTCTCACTCTTGTTCAGGCTGGTCTCGAACTCCTGAGCTCAGGCAATCCATTCACCTTGAACTCCCAGAGTGCTAGGATTACAGGGGTGAGCCTGGCCTTGTACCTGATGCAGGATCAAAGTTTCTTAGAGAAACTACATTAGATTGCCAGTTAGAAGCCCATGCCAACTTCCAAGGCCAAATTATCATATACCATAAGGTGATCCCAGTACTAATAAATACCAATTTCACGGTAGTTTAAAAGAGGAACATTTCTTCCCACACTCTTTTTCTAAAGGATTAAACCTGTTCAACAAGATTTTGGAAGAAACATCTTAATTCTTTTCTGCTTTTCTTCACCAGACACATATCTCTAATGCCAGTCTAGATTCCATTCTTCAATAAAACATGGGCCTGTCTTAATCTTCTATAAAGATTTTCTGCTACAAAATTATCCATCTCTTCCATCCAGCACCAAATCACATTTTCTTTTTTTCTTTCTTTTTTTTGGTTTACTTGATTTTTACTTACTCACTTTCACTTAGAAAAGCCACAGAACTAGGTTAATTTACATCCACACAAGTAATTGAATTTAATAATATAAATCAGGTGTGAGTGTAGTGATTTGGGAGAGTAAATAGAAAGAGGCAATGTGTGAGGGAAGGAGTTCTTTTTTGTCCTTGCTTTCTCATCCTCTTTCTTGCATTCAGAATAATGAGATTCTCTAAAAGCTCCATGTTGAGAGAAGAAAAGAAAAAACAAAAAGAGTACCTCATCTGAGTCAATTATAATACGTAAGTTGTTTTGTAAACTGGATCAGAGACAATAGAAATTTCCAATAGGGCAGCAAAAGGGTTCCAAAAGAGGTGGGTGAAACCAAGTTAGTCACGTAAACCAAACCAAACCAGCAGCAAAGCAGTTCTGTAGCCAGGGCCCCCATTAGTTCATCTGGAAGCCTAACTTTTTCTGTAAGGATCCTGTCTCATTTTTGGTGGGGAAAGTGATATGACAGTGCTAAGTATTCACCTCTTTGGCACCTGGTAGCTCTAAAAAGAATCCAGATCTTTCTTCCAAGAGGACGAATTAAGTACCTAGAGAAAAGCAATGAGCTTGAACTAATAAATTACATTTTTGCATGTGATTGAACAAATTGGGCAATGTTGAGGGGGGAGACCAGTTAATTAAAGCCTCAGAAAATATGACCAGTTCACCCATACTGAAATTCAGTAGAATTTCCATAGTTGACCACTTCCTTAAGCTAATCTAATTTTACAGAGTAGACATGCACTACATGTATCAGTACAGTAGGCTTAGTTCCTAGGTTGACCAACTCCATATGTTGACTGGTTACAGTCCCTTGGTCAACTTGTTCTACTGTATATTTATTACCTATTAAATTGGCAAAGATCCAAAGGCTTGACAATGTACTCTGTTGGCACAGCCAAGGAGAAGCAGATAATTTCATATGTTGCTGGTGGGAGTACAAATTGGTACAACTGTCACAGACGGCAAGGTGGCAATATCTAACAAAATGACACATGCACTTGCTCTTCGACCTAGCATTCTACTGCTAGGAATCTACTCTGAAAACACTGTCACAATTATGAAACAACATATATACAAGAATTATTCACTGCAGTATTATTTATAATGGCAAAAACTGTAAACAATTCAAATATCTATCCTTTGAAAGAAATATGGTACATAAACACAATAGCATATCACCCAGCTTAAATCTTCAAAACAGTTCACATACCAAGTGTATGTGTGTCAGGAATTGACCCCACAGAAGTTTTCACAAATCTGGTTAAGGTGGACATATGAACATATGAAAACAAATTAGCAGTGGGGTCAGTTCTTGGATCCCCTCACGCCCTGCCTTGGCATATGACTGTTATTAAGTGCTGGATGGAGATATCTCCAGGCAGCAAGGTGTAGGAAAATATACATAGTATGTTAGCATGTATGTAAGAAAGAAGGGGAAAGAATAGACATCTCTGGTTAAAAAACCAAAACCAAAACCACAAAAAATGATTACCAATAGGGAATGGGGAAGAACAGAATGAAAAGGATAGGGATGGGAATAAGGCTTCACTGAGTATCTATCTTTTTACATAGCTTTGACTTTTTAGAAACTTTTTGTTATTTTAAAATAATTATAGATTTACAGAAAAGTTGTAAAGATAGTACAAAAGTTTTCATCTGTATCCTTCACTCAGCTTCCCCTAATGAACATCTTTTATAAACATGGTACATTCATCAAAATTAAATTAACTTTCCTACAGTATTATCAAGTACACATACCAGAGGGCAGGTGATGTCAGAACAACTTATTCCTGATGATGCTCACCATCATCTCTTGCTTAAGATGGGGTCTGCCAGTCTGCCAGGTTTCTCACTTTAAGTTACTATTTTCCCCTTTCCATTTTCTATTCCATAGAAGCAAATCACAAGGTCCAGCCTATACTCAAGAGCAAAGGAATTAAGCCCCACTTTCTGGAGGGAGAAGTATCCAAGAATTTGTGGGCATTTGTTAAAACCATCACAGTAGGCTCGGCGCCTATGGCTCAGCCGGCTGGGGCGCCAGCCACGTACACCTAAGGTGGCGGGTTCGAGTCCCCAGCCTGGACCCGCCAAACAACAATGATGGCTGCAACCAAATAGCCGGGCGTTGTGGCGGGCGCCTGTGGTCCCGGCTGCTTGGGAGGCGGAGGCAGGAGACTCGCTTGAGCCCAGGAGTTGGAGGTTGCTGTGAGCTGTAATGCCTCGGCACTCTGCCCAGGGGGACAGCTTGAGGCTCTGTCTCAAAAAAAAACAAAAAAAACCCATCACAGTAATAAGTAAATATTTGGGGGGAAAATATATGACAATGCAAAATACTGTGCAAACACCTATTTCTCCTTAAACTTTTCATCCACTAACTTTAACATTTATCTGAGGATCTTGCCTGCAACAATTATTATGGTGCTCTAAAGGCAATTTTCTATTACCTTCAGTCTGTCAACATTTGTTATTTGGAATTATTATTACTTGAAATTCTTTTGTAAAAAGACTTGTTTCTTCAGGTTTATTTATTCAATTATTTCTTCTAGTATAGTCTTACAAGTTCTTATTCTTTGGGTTATAATCCAATACTATCATTTCTTTTGTTGCTCGATTTCTTTTGTGGCCACTGGGTGCTCTTTCAAGTTGGCTCCTAAGTCCTTCTGTAACTTTTAACTTTTGAATCATGTAAATAGTTCACATAATCATGACTTTAACTAAAAATAAAAGCAACTCCTAAAACTCAGAATAAACCCATTGGGCAAAATAACCGAGCAGAAAACTACTTTAAGTAACTTTTGATCTTGTTACAGCCATAGTATGATATATTCTAAGGACAAAAAGAACACTAAAGAAATCTTAAGCCTCACTTTTTCTTTTTTGGAGACAGTCTCATTCCATCACCCCAGGTAGCACACAGTGGCATAATCACAGCTCACTGCAATCTCAAACTCCTGTGCTTAAAAGATCCTTCTGCCTCAGCCTCTTGAGTAGCTGGAACTATAGATGCATGCCATGACTTCTGTGTAAGTTTTTTTTCTACTTCTAGTAGAGATGGAGTCTTGCTCTTGCTCAGGCCACTCCTGAGCTCAAGTAATTCTTCAACCTTAACCTCCCAGAGTGCTAGGATTATAGGTGTGAGCCACTGCACTATGCCTTAAGCTTCATTAATACACAGTTAATATCATAATTTTCAAATATTTTTTGAATATTGCAGGATAAAACTAATATGTAAATATGTTAGCACTATTAGGAATCAAGATTTCCAGTGCAAAGGAAACTAATATATACATGCACAAGAGCAAACATTAAAAACATCAACTTGGCTCAGGGCCTATAGCATAGTAGTTAGGGTACTGGCCACATACACCCAGGGTGGCAGGTTCGAACCCAGCCTGGGCCTGCTAAACAACAATGACAACTGCAACAAAAAAATAGCTGGGCATTGTGGCAGGTTCTGTAGTTCCAACTACTTGGGAGGTTGAGGTAAGAGAATTGCTTAAGCCCAAGAGTTTGAGGTTGCTGTGAGTTGTGGTGCCATGGCACTCTACTGAGGGAGACATAGTGTAAAAATAAATAAATAAATAAATAAAATAAAAACATCAACTTAAATCACAGTTAAAAACATATACGGATTAATATACAGTATAACCTCTGCAAGTTGACCACTCAAGGGACTGTAAAAAACTGGTTAATATATGGAGGTGGTCAACATAAGGAACTAGGCATACTGTACTGATAAATACATGTGGTACATGTCAGGTCTATGAAAATGAGCTCAACTGAAGGGAAGTGATCAACTATGGAGGTTCTACTGTATATCCCAGCTCAGTCAGTTTCAAGTACCAAGAAGCAATGACATCCCCATAAAGGACATGCCTAGTACCAAATGCTAGTTTTTCAATATCATTACCCTATAAAGGAAGCAGGCTTCTGTCTTTTTCTGGGTTTGGGACCTGCCTGGGATGTACCCAGATGAGCCAAGGCTTATCAGAAGACATAGGAATCAGTATGATGAGTGCCCACTGCACAAAGTCAGGGTAATTTGAAGAGTATAAAGAAAAAAGACTGTGGCTGATTGTAAAATAGTAAATAATCTGTGAGTCCATTGTATAATATGTCAATATACATAAAGAATGAATTTACTTTGCTAGCACTGGTTAATAACTATTGTTCTCTAAAAAGGATTTTT